CAGAAAGAAACAATTCAAGTATTGTGGAAATACAATCAGGATAACACAGGATTTAGCAGCTTCTACATTAAGGGATCAGAGAGCTTGGAAATTATGTTCTGGAGGTCAAAGGAGCTAGGATTAAAACCAAGAATCACTCACCCAGAAAAGCTGAGTATAATCCTTCAGGGGGAAAAATGGATACTCAGTGAACTAGAGGACTTTTAAGCATTCTTGATGAAAAGACCAGAGCTGAATAGAAAAGTTAACTTTCAAATACAAGACTCTAGAGAAGCATGAAAAGGTAAACAGGAAAGAGGAATCATAAGGGACTTATCAAAGTTGAACTGTTTACATAAGATTTGTAACTCATGAGACTTTCTCAGTATTAGTGTAGTTGAGAAGAATACACACACACACACAGACACACACACACATATATACATATATATAATATGTATGTATGTCTGTGTATATATATATATGTAGAGAGAGACAGAGACAGAGACAGAAAGAGACAAAGACAGAGACAGAAAGCACAGAGTGAGTTGAAGATGAAGGGATGATATCTAAAAACTAAAATTAAGGGGTGAGAAAGGATTATACTGGGAGAAGCAGAAAGGGAGAAGTAGAATGAGGTAAATTATCTCACATGAAACAGAGAAGAAAAAGCTTTTACAGTGGATGGAAAGTGGGAGGAGATGACAGGGAATGAGTGAATCTTACTCTCATCAGATTTGGTTTAAGAAGGGAATAACATACACATTCAATTGGGTGTGGAAATCTATCTTACCCTATAGGGAAATGGGGGTGAAGAGGATTAGAGAGGGGGGATGACAGAAAGGAGGGCAGATTGAGGGAGGGGGTAATCAGAAACAAACACTTTTGAGGAGGGACAGGGTCAAAGGAGAGAATAGAATAAATTGGGGGGGTGGGATAGGATGGAGTTTTTCACAACATGACTATTACGGAAGTGTTTTGCATGACTACACATGTATAACTTGTATCAAGTTGCTTGCCTTCTCAATGAGGATGGGTGGGGAGGGAGGAAGGGAGAGAATTTGGAATTCAAAGTTTTAAAAACAAATATTAGAAATTGTTTTTACATGCAACTAGGAAATAAGATATACAGGCAATGGGGGTATAGAAATTTATCCTGACTTACAGGAAAATAGAAGGGGGAAGGGATTAAGATAAGGGAGGTGATAGAAGGGAGGGCAGATTGGGGGAAGGGGTATTCAGAATGCACACAGTCTTGGGATGGGGGAGAGGAGAGATATGGGGAGAATATTTAGAACTCAAAATCTTGTGCAAATGAATGTTGAAAACTAAAAATAAATAAATGAATCAAAATGCAAAAAAATTAAAATCTCTCGTACAACTAAAAAGATAAAGAAATACATCTGCCTTTGGAGGCAGAGAGACTCTAGGAGAGGGGCAAAATTAATTCCAAGGTAAGAAGAGGAAGAAGAAGAAATCATTAAAAGACACTAGTTATAAAATGTATGACAAAGTGGCTTACTGATCAATAAACTACGAAAAAGTTATTTTAAACAAATGACCTCAACTAACCTTGTCCTGTCCATACAATGAAATTTTGTGCAGGTAGGTGTTCTGGGTCTGGGGTGAGGAAGACACTGTTCAAATCTTGCCTCAGGTACTTGCTAGCTGTATGACCCCAGGGTCACTTAACCTCTGTTTGCTTCAACTTCCTCATCTGTAAAATGGGGATAATGATTGCATCTACTTCCCAGAGTTGTTGGAATTCTATCTATCTGCTTCTATTAATGTAGGGGATCTAATTTTCAGATTCAAGTTAAATTCCTGACCGTTGTTCTTTAATGAGAAACGGAGTGGCCTAAGCTTAATCCAAGGTTAAACTTCCTTCCCACCAGTTGCCATTTCCAATGAATATACACAGCAAATAACAAAGAAATCCATTCATCCAAATCAATTGCAAAACAGATATCAGATAGTATACATATATGAGAATATATACCAGACCACACAGATTAAATGAATTATCCCTTTGGGAGCAAGATAACTCAGTTCAACAAATAGAGTCCCAGATCTTACCCAAGTAGAAATAACTCAGGTCTCTAGTGTAGCAAACAGGAGAGAGGCACATGATAGATTGACATCTTCTCCAAATGTCATTTCTTTCTAGAGTCTTTCTCTACCTTCAGGAATTTGAAAAGGTGTTGGAATGACAGTCTTTCCCCTTTTCACCAACTCCACCCTGCTGACTGTGAGCATTCAGTAGTCAATATAAACCAGTGAGGATGGTGTCTAGCCCTTTGAACCACAAATAACACAAACAGGGAAAACATAAGGGTTTTCCTTACTTAAGGAAGGAGATGATCCATGGATTTAGGGTTAGCATGAAAATACAATCCAGGAATTTAAGGTTAGCAGAAAATACAACCCAGGAATAGCAATTTTGGATACAGATGCTCTTGGAAATAAATTGTAAGCTGGTGAGACAGGCAGGTCATATAAGGAGCAAAGTGTCAGTAAGAGTACTTTCTTTTTTTTCAAATTCTTGGGAGCAATTCTTGGTGAGCTGAGCTCAAAAAGAAGACCACTCTACCAAATCAGTACAAGAAGAGAGAGTTTCCTCCCTTTCTCAACACACTATTAGGCTAGTCAGGCTTGCTGAGTATTTCTACCGGCTGCTTACATAAAAAAAATGTTGAGCAAATATCTTCTTCCTTTAAGGCAATTTTGGGGGTAGGTAAAGTATATTGCTCAATAAGAGTACCTTACCACAGTGATAAGATAAGCATTTGTCAGATGCAGCTTCTCTTCTCTCCCCTACAACTGGTTATCAGGGTGAAGGATATGGGGACTTGTCTTGAATGATCTTCAGAAGTCCATCAAGTCTGAGACACCTTTTTTTTTTTACAGAGCTTGTTATTGTTGTTCTATTGTTTCAGTTATGTCTGACCCTTTGTGACCTCATTTGGGGGTTTCTTGGCAAAGATACTGGAATAGTTTGCCATGTCCTCTCCATCTATAAGGATAAGCTTTCCCTAAAGGAGACAAACTGTAACCTCATTGACCTCAGCTTCCCCAAAGGAGATTCCTACCCACCCAAGAACATTAAAAAGTCTCAGATACATGGAGTCTCAGACTTGGTAGATTTCTCAAGACCATTCAAAGTCACCATATCTTTCACCCTGAAAACCAGTTGTATTATTATATAGAAACAAGGAAAGAACGTGTCCAGAAAAAGCTAAGTGCTACTGTTTCCTTGTTACATAATCTTGCTGTGTTAAAGCAAAGTAAACCTTTTGTTAACTGTTCAATGACCTTTAAGTTCCTTATTTAATCTTAACATCAAAATTGAAATGAATGCTAATATTAGAACCACCTTTAACATACTCCAAATATTATTTATTGATTGACTTTTTAAGGTTGATCTAAAATATAAACATGTATTATGGCATACAGATTCACTTCCTCCTCTTTACCTTTAATGGTTGATCTATTGCATAGTTTCATGTTTAGGCACTATTGGGGTGGTCACCAGTTGTTCTAAAAGATTAAGGATTAGTAAGTATGTAGCTTATAATTTTATTTTTTTCCATACCGACAGAGGAATCAGATTTCTTGACAGTAATTTTTATATGATATAACAGTAGTTGTATTCTCTAAAGTGGGCTTCAATTAGTTCAATTTCAGAATCTGTAATAAACCAATTTATCACTAAAATACTAAAAGAACCAAATATGATACATTCTAAAATGGCCCAATAGCATGAATCCCAAGGATGACGCTGAAGTAAAGCTTTAGTGCATTTTTGTCATTTGAGTGCCAGGTGTACAGTTTTATAGTAAACTTCAGAAGACAATTTATATACATTATATATGAAAAAATCATTTCACATATAACAAGATAAATAAAAATGGATCTTTGAAGAGAATTATTTCCATCACCAATTTATAAGATGTTCTCATAATGATACTATTGATGTGGATACAAATAGTACCCTAGGGGTTAAGAATATTAATGGTTGCTTTTCCAGGATTTATGAAGCCCCTTCTGAGGGGGTTTGGGACTCATTCTGTAGCTCTTAAGGGCATCCTAAAGTCTCTTCCCCTTATCTTGAAATATCATAAAACTTCCCCCTATCCTGGACCATAAAATTCCTTGTCTCCCTCATCCTGTGTCATAAAATTTCCTGTGTCTTCTTTATCCTGTCCTTATCTTTAACCACTATAAAACCCTAAAACTACATCATCATTCTGAAACCTCTACATAAGTATAACTCCCTTAAATATCTGGGTCTCAGTTAGCTTTCATGCTAAGGAGACCAGTGCTGGTTACACTTTAAATAAAGCCCCCAATGAACGGGGCTTCTCTACCTTCTCTGTAGGTCTAAGCGAATTCTTTCACACCTGAACTGCTCTCCTGAGTCTGACCTTAACACTACTGCAGTAAGACTGCAGGTGCTAAAGACATTAGAGACATGCACATCTGTTAGATTTCTTGCAACCTATACCAGTCACTATCGTCAAAGGAAATGGAAAACAAAACTTAGTTTCACAGCCTTTGTTATTGTTCAGCTTTTCAGTTGTGTCTGACTCTTTATGACCCTGTGGATCATAGTACATCAATGCCATTCATGGGGTTTTCTTGACAAAAATACTGGAATGGTTTGCCATTTCCTTCTCTAGTAGATTAAGGCAAACAGAGGTTAAATTACTTGCCCAGAATCACATAGATAATAAGTGTTTCAGGCCAGGTTTGAACTCAGGTCTTCCTGATTCCAGGTCCAACAATCTATCCACTGAGCCACCTTTCATAGCATTTAAGACATAATAAAAGTTTATTCAGAAGTGTTAACATTTTATTAATTCTTCCTCTCTCTCTCTCTCTCTCTCTCTCTCTCTCTCTCTCTAGAGAATCAAATATGGAGAAAATTGGGGAATAGATAAAGGGTGAGGACAAATATATAACTTGAAAATACATATCACAAGAAAACTTTTAGATATTTAAAAAGGCATTTTGTCTCTTACTTTTAACAGTGAGGTACATGGATTTGCTGACATCTGCTCCCACATCATTGCTGACCTTGCAGAGATAATATCCACTATCCTCTTCTACAACATGTTTAATCAGCAAAGAACCATTTGTGAGAACCTGGATACGGCCATTTAAGACAATTGGTTGGAATTGAGGAACCCCAGCACCTGGAATAGGATAAAAAAAGATGAGTCAAATGGAGATAAAATATAATGGTCACTTCAAAGTAACAAGATCTATCAAAATGAATTTTTACATTAATAGCATATCAAATAGATAAGTGATCCAGTAACCTTTCTGGCTGTGTATCCACTCAAATAAAACTACTGTGGAAAGAAAAGCATTGGTTTAAAATGATAGTATTTTGCAAGAAGTCAGATGGTGGGAAAGACAGTCTACAGATAGTTTCCAGATAAAAAGACAAATTTAAAGTAAAATGGATGATGCATTATTGAAACTGAGCAATGAACATAAAAAAATAAAAATTGAACAAGAATGGAAATAGACACCTCTCAGCCCCAAATGAATTTCTTATGATTAGAGGAAATAATTATGATTGAATAAGGACATTTGAGGGATATTGTATTCAAAGTCCACATCAAGTTATAAAGAACACATGTACAAAATGCATACTATTTTGAACCCCATATGAAAAATACTGCGTGCTAATTAGGATAATTTCAACTCTATTTTTATTTTATATAATTATTTAGACACAAATACACAAAATTGAATAGTAACAAAATATAAAATGACAGATCCAATAGCAAGAACATATTGACAATCTTTATAATTGTGCTATGAAAATATTTTCTTTGTCTTTTAACATATTTAACTTGTGTTCTGAAAACATTTCTGAACCACATCCTTTTAAATGTGTTAGTTTTTCAACAAATTTGATGTGTCATCTGTTTTTATAAATATTATATAGGGATTTATCTGGTCAATATTCGAAGGGTATTGTTTGTTTTTGTTGGGAACAACTCCTTTGACTTGGAAGCCATATTCTTTTTTATCAGGAGGGTCTAGGCAGAAGCATTTAAATTTTAATTTGTCTTTAAATTGTCTTCCTAAAAGATTTCATGTTTCATTAAAAATGATTAATAGCTTATGTTTTATGTTCCTTATGTTTCCCCAAATATGCCACCCCAAAATCCAAACCCTTTTTTCTTCCCCTAAATCCAAGCCTTATAACAAAGAATAAAAGAAAATAAGGAAGTAAAACAAAGCAAAAATATCAAGCCAACATATATGCAATGTTTCACATCCATAGTCTCCTATTTTTGCAACATTGTATTTCTTTTTAAAACTGATATTATATTCATTGTTCTATTTATTATACATAATTCTACATATTATTTACATGGTTCTGTAAATTATATACATAGTTCTGCTCACTTCACTCTGGATCAGTTCATAAAATCTTCCCAGGCTTCTTTGAAACTATCCCTTTATTTCTCACAATGCAATTTCCATTAGCCATTTCCCAATTCATGGGCATTTCTTTAATTTCAAGTTCTTTTGACACTATGAAAAAGAGCTGCTATAAATATTTTGCACATATACTTTTCTTTTTTGATCTTTTTGTGGGTATGTCTTAAAGTGGCATCATTGTGTTTGAGGGTATCACAGTTTAGTGACTTTGGGCGCATGGTTCCAACTTGATTTTAGAAAGGTTGGACCAATTCAGAGTTTCATTGACAGTATATTTATGTGTTTTTTTTCTTACTTCCCCTCCAACAATTGTAATTTTTGTCTTATTTTCCAATTTGATGTCTGTCTTGTGAAACTTTAGATTTGCTTTAGTTTGCATTTCACTAATTAATAGTGATTTGTAACCTATTTTCATAAGATCTTCATTGAAAACTGCTTATTCATAACATTTGACCATTTATCTTTTGCAATAACAGTTCTTACTCTTATAAATTTAAATCAGTTCCTTTGCATCTTAGTTATATCTCTCATATTAGCAAAGATGAGTACAGTAATTCTGTATGACTTCTATTTTCATTAATTCATATAACCATGTCCATGCTTCTCTGAAATCCCTACATTCATTGTTTCTTATAGTATAGTAACATTTGTTATATTCATGTACCACAATTTGACCAGTCAATCCCCAAATGCTAGGTATGTTTTTATGTTTTCCCTCTCTCTTGCTCTTTGTTGTTACAAAAGATACCACTATAAATATTTTCATGAGAAAAAGAATCTTTGTTTTTGTCATTGACTTCCTTTGGATATATACACAGTATTGGCATATCTGGGTCAAAGGGTGGACATATATATCTTTCAAAGCATAATTCCAAGTTAGATGCCATGTTCTATATGAATTATTCTTGATATGTTTTTGTGTATGTTTTAAAGAGAACTCATAACCCCCACCCCCCAAACAGGGGTATCAAGTAAAAGGGAATATCAGAGAAAAGCTGAAAAACCAAAAGATCAAAACAGAAAACCTGACTATAGACTCAGCCCACAAAGAGATAAATCAACAGAGAAGCTCATAAGAGAGATAAAAGACTGAATACAATTTCAAAAAGAAAACAAAGGACTTTGAACAAATATCATAATGAGCCAATATTACCTAGGGAAAGAGAAAATTCAGGAGATTCCTCAGAGATCAGTTGATAGTAGCAAGAAACTCTAAAATGAGGATGAAATTCAATTCGTATAAATTCTCAGTTTTTCAGGCTTATAGTAATATAAAACTGGCTCTGATTATTCTCATTATTTTAGTGATTTCAACTTTGTTTTGTTAATTTGATTTTCCTTCCTTTCCTCTTTAATCTTATATTCATTTTGAACTTATTTGCATATGGTGATGGAAGTCTAATCCTAATTTCTGCCATATTGCTTTGCAATTTTCCCAGAAATATTTGTCAAATATAAAGCTTTTGCCCAATTAATTCATGTTTTGGAGTTTGCAAACACTTGGTTAATGAATACGTTATTTAAAAAAATCTTCAGTGTAGTTTTTGTTTATTCACCTGTTTTCTATTTTTTAATCTGTACAAAATTATTTTAATGATTTATAAAGTAGGTTAAAGTCTAGAAGTGCCATTCCTCCACTGAAAAATTGAAAGACTGATATCTTTTGCTTCTTCAAATAAACATTGTTAGGATTTTGTATATATCTATAAAGTATGATTTTGGTTGATTTGGTATGGAACTAAATTTGTAAATTAATTTCATCATAATAATGTTATGATACTGCCATGCCTCATTCATGACCATTGTTTATACTTGTAGTTACTTAAGTTGTCTTTCATTTCAGGAGTTATTTACCCAGACAGGTATTTGGAAGGTTTTGCTAAATTGAATCATATTTTTGCATTCTATAATTAAAAAATTATTTGACAGAAATCTATTTTTTCCCTTCTACATCTCATCCCATTGAGAAGGAAAGAAAAAGAAAAACAAATTCATTATAAACATATATGTATAATGAAACAAAAAAAATTCTTATTGGCTGTGTTCAAAAAAATAAAGTCTTATTTTATACCCTGTACCCATCACCTCTCTCTCATGAGAAAGACAGAATATTTCATCACTGGTTTTGTGGAATCATGGATGGTCATTTTGTTGATCAGATTTCTTATAGTTTTCAAAGTTGTTTGTCTTTACAATGTCATTGTAATTGTATAAATTATTCTACTGATCCTGATCATTTTACTCTTTGTTAGTTCATAAAAATCTTTAAAAAAATTTTTTAAAATAATATTAATATTATTTCAGTATATTGTTCTGGTGCTTCTTCCTTCACTCCAACATTTCATAGACGTCTTTCCATGTCTTTTTGAAATCACATTTTTCCTCATTTCTTTTTTTAAAAACCTATATCAGCACTTTTTTATTACAACAACAAACTGGAAACAAAGCTCAACATTTACAAAATGGATAAACAAATTTGGAACATATAAAATGGAATATTAATGTACTACCAAAAGTTATTTAATGACTACAGAGAATCATGGACTTATATGAACTGATGCAAAGTGAAATAAACAGAGCCAGAAAAACAACAAACACAAAGACTACAACGATTTAAATAGAAAGAACAATCACAAAATAATAAAAACTGAATTCAGAGAAATTATAATGATGAAAATTGTCACCAAAGAAGAAATATGAGAGGACACCTCACTAGCTCTTCCTTTAGAGAGAAAGGCTGAGGTGGTGGTTGTCATGTGTTTGAAATACTGCATTCAATGTCATATTTTTCCAATATGTTAACTGGTTTTGCTGATTTTTTTCTCATCCTCTTTACTTTTTTCTGTTTGTCATAAGGATGGCTCTCTGGGAGAGGGCAAGAGGAGGGATAAAGGAAGAAATGTAAGAAATATAAAAACAAAAGATTTCCATAGATATCTATTTTTTTAAAACAGAGTCCTTGGGGAGAAAACTAGAGAAGAATAGTGTGCCCAAAATTGCAAAGAATGTTCAAATATCAGGCAGTCCTACCTAAGTAGATATTTGTTAATTAATGATGATCTGATTTTAAAACATCTTTAAGTGTCAAGTTAGCATGATTTATGTTAGCATTCTATTTGGAAGCAATCCATATTTTTCTATATGTGTATGATACTGACAGAAGTATAATGATGACCATCTAGATGTTCTAAAGAATAGATTTAAATCTATCTTTTCCCAAGAAATTATTGGTTGTGTTGAAAGATTTGAGAATCCTTGGACATTTTAGCTAGTGTCATCGTGCTTTCTGAAGTTACCTTTTTCCCTTCAGATTTCATGACAAGTTTTTTGAATTGATAGGTATCATTAGCATTCCCTATGATATCCATATGATTAGAATTACATTCCACCAGAATCTGGAGATACTGTGGCTTCAACACTTGACATGCCAACCAAATCTGCTTCCTCTCATTTACATCCTTTCCATCAAGAGATAATGTTTCTTTTTGAAGCTCTTTCCTGAAGGGAAAGAGTCTATGAAAATTCCTCAATTAATTCCTTTACTTTTTTTAAGTGATCAGAATGAGAATCCATCTGAGAACCTCTTAAACATATTGTGGTGACTTCATCATTAACTATCTCTTGACTCACAACATTAAAGTCTTTTAAAGTTTTTTCATACATTTGGTTACCACAGTTCATGTATTTAAATACATCTGTATCAAGGACAATTATCTGTTCATTTCCTATAGTT